GGTTATGTCTGATTCAAACAAACTTGGAACCGTTACTGTGACATGTACATTTGCATACAGTAATTAAGCTTGTGAAAAAAAGTTGTTGATATATAATCAGAATATGTCTACATGGTGTATCAAATACTTTTTATTTAAGTCTGGTTTTTGATTACATGTTCACTTTATAAACAAGAAAAAAAATTATTCAAGCTAAAATGCTGTTTAGGTTATGGTGACTGACGATAGCATATCCTTCGTAGCTCCATCAACATAAGTTATAAATAAATGGGCCAGTCAGTCCCATTACACCCATTAATTCAAAACTGTCCCCTTCCAATCAGAGACAGATTCATTAAACAGCAATCAGTTGAGTAGCTACCAGACAGCTTCTGCATCCCACAACCATGTGCTCTGTAATCAATTTAGAGGAAGGGGAGAAGATCTTTATCAACAGTTCAGCAAAAAGCCATTTATGAAAGTTGGCCAATCCAGGAGATGCAATCATGCTCTGTTAATCAGTTAATATTTCATGGCATTTGTAGGGGAAGAAGTCAAATATTAAGAGCAGAATTATCAGCACAATTAGCTGGCTAATTAAGTATATGTTCCCTCGTTTATGATAGGGGTTTGTATTCTGTAATAGACACTATAATTGACGTTCTCAAATAAATTAATTATTCTTTACATTCTTGCTATGTGGCTAAAGAACTGTTTGGCTCACAGTTTTGCTCAACCACAAATTGCTGTGTTTATTTGACTGCGTTTTATTTCTACCCAGTTGACAACAGCCATGTTTTATTAGATCAATGTTAACAAATATCTAAGTAAAATGTTTAAAATAATAAGAAAAGAGAAACTATCCAGGTTTAGAAAATATACATTATTTATACATTATTACTACAAATAATATTTAATATAAATCATACAACAGTGTGTTTTTTTTCAAAAACGCTTTCTGCAAGTTACATCAATATGCCGAGGTGGCGAGATGTGACTGTTTTTATGAGTGAGTCACTTAGATGATTTGTAAATCATCCATTCATTTACGAATTAAACTAGTGACTAGTCTTTAGGTGTGTTCGACTTTTGCAGACCGGCGACCGGTCTATGACATCAAAGTTCTGCGAGAGAGATATCATACATCGAATGATCTGTGCAGTGACGCTTCATGACGAACACACCTTTTATTATAAGTGAGAATCGTTCATTCAACCGATTTGTTCAAAAACACTGATTTGCTAGGCGTTAGGTGACTTTGTTTGGAATTATTTTTATTGGCAGAGTAAAAACTGTCAATATTGTGCCTAAAAAGGCAGAACCCAGTATTAACTTCTTGTTTGTTGAACTGTTTTGATAATTTGTTCATTTTTAATTAGGACCAGGACTGGTACACTATTAAAGGGGAGTAGGGGACCTATGATGCTCCTTTTTAAAAGATGAAATATATCATTCTTAGGTGTCCCCAGAATGTGTCTGTGAAGTTTCAGCTCAAATTACCCCACAGATCATTTATTGCATGTTGTAAATTACCATTTTTTTAGTGAAAGCAAAAAAATGCTGTTTTCGTGCATTTGTATCTTTAAATGCAAATGAGTTGCTGCTCCCCACCCCTTATCCAGAATAATGCTGTGCCTTTACAGCAACCTTAGATACTCTCCCAAAAACTAACAAAACATCTGTTTGGTTTTGATAATCATCTATCATGGTCATGCTCACGTGACATTGCAGTTTTTCTTCATCATTAAAGTTTTTTAATTTGCATGCATTTTAAAGCCATATCAATTTAAACTTCTGATATATGATTTTCTGAAAGCACATCCGAAGCACGCGCACAGAAAGCTGGATGTCAGACGGCGTGTCCCGTGAGTATTAAACTAAGTTCTCTTTCACATCTTATTGCGCTTAAACTGTCAAATACACACAAGGTTATAACCATACAAAGTTCACGGTTCTGTCTGTGAACGTAAACAGCACCGAAAGAAATTGCATGTGTATATTAGATCTGTGTTTTAAAGTGACAGCAGCATAATATACAGCTGTCAATTGACACTATGGACGCATAATTAGTTCTCTTTCACATCTTATTGCGCTAAAACTGTCAAATACACACAAGGTTATAACCACACAAAGTTCACGGTTCTGTCTGTGAACGTAAACAGCACCGAAATAAATTGCATGTGTATATTAGATCTGTGTTTTAAAGTGACAGCAGCATAATATACAGCTGTCAATTGACACTATGGACGCATAATTAGTTCTCTTTCACATCTTATTGCGCTAAAACTGTCAAATACACACAAGGTTATAACCACACAAAGTTCACGGTTCTGTCTGTGAACGTAAACGGCAGCGAAAGAAATTGCATGTGTATATTAGATCTGTGTTTTAAAGTGACAGCAGCATAATATACAGCTGTCAATTGACACTATGGACGCATAATTATGTTTAAAAAAAAAACAATATAAAAGTGAATTTTGCATAATAGGTCCCCTTTAAAATATAAATCTGCATGAAACCCACAGTGTCACAGTGTTGTAGTGAAACTCTATTCGGGCTACAATGTAACTTAACTTTTAACAAAAGCATTGAAGCCACACAACCTTGCCCCAAACCAAACTAACAGCATGGTACAACAAAGTCCCTGATTATGGATCACTGAATTCACCTTAAAAACAGTAACTTTCAACACTGTTCTTGTTATGTAAGGAAATTAACCACATGAGTCATGCCAAGTCAGGTTCAAGTTAATGCGAGGCAAGGGGACACTCTTCAAGAATACTGTGTGCATGTTCGTATTAGTGGAGTCATTCAAGAGTAAAAGACAGGGCACTTGTTCTATTTCATAAGGAGCCCTTCTGGAGCCTGTGACTCAATGGAGCGAGTCATGGACCACCTTTTATACAGCCCTTCAATCAGATGATCTAGTCTGTCTTAGAGTAGCTGTCAGGATGGATCAGTGTAAGAAGTGTAGCCTATGTGCGTGTGTGTTCAGATTTCTTTTTCCATGTGTGTGTGTGAGATGCAGTCCAGTGCAGGTCAGAGGCAGACAGACATGGTAGAGCTCAGCATATCACATGATCGGTGTTCTTAAAACTGTTCGAAGAAGGTCTGGACTAAATATTCAGCTAGAGGTCAAATATACAGTAACTGCTGTGTTTCCTGTTCCAAGCATGGTTCCAAGTGATGTAACATTCAGGAGACATAAAGAGCTTAAAGTTGGCATTACATTTTCTAAATGCGTCTTAATGATCTTATTGTGATTCATCCATTCATTCATTTTTTTCTTTTCCCATATAATTTAATCAAAATGATGATGTCAAAACTACATCTTCCGGTGAAACAATAGACTTCTCTCTGGTGACGTATGCCGGATTTTTCCAATAGTCCATTTCAACCCTACCCCTATTCTTGCAATCTACAGCAAGTTTGCAATAAGATCTGCCTCCATCCAATCAACAACCGATGGACAGAACCAAGTCCTGTTCTACATTATTTCTTTTTCGATAATCCAAAAATGTACATCACGATATGCAAGACATCGGTCGCTACCTCTGTTACATTGCCAAGTTAGAGACTATAGCAACATGATCGAACAAGGAATAGTTTACCAAAAAAGGAAAATTATGTCATCATGTCGTTCTGCCATGAAACACAAAATGAGATGTTAAGCAAAATGCTAATATTAGTAATATTTTGTCAATTTTGGAGTTGGACCCATTCTCATTTACTTTTATTGTATGCAGGGTTAACTTTCTGCTTAACATTTCCTTTTGTGTTTAACAGAAGAAAATCATATGGGTTTGGAACTACCCGAGAGTGAATATGATGACAGAATTTTAATTTTTGGGTGAGTTTTCACTCTTTAAAGTTGGCATGAAATGACAATTCTATCTATTATCTACATGCATATTCATCCATGTATATATTTCATTTTTAATTTTGTTTTATCAAAATCTCATAACTGGATTTTCTGGTGAGAATTTGGTGATTTACTGTATGCAGGAATTCTCCAATCATTTATTCTGCTTAAACTCCGGCTCTGCAAGCCCATGTTCATCTGTCACCATTTTTGAGTGCAACACCCAAAAATCCAATCGACAATCAATGAATGAATAGTCTCCACACTTTTTTTGTGATAATCCATTACACCTGGATCTGTGTCACAATAAAGAAGAAAAGAGCTGTTGCTACTTCCGTTTCATCGTGACTTCAAACATTTCTCCCATGTTTTATCACCAAAGTGTTGAAGCCAAAAGCTCATTATAACTTCTATTACAGCTTTTCATTACTACATAAGATAGCTTTAATCAGCCATGCAGCCTTTTGGTTCTATCTGTGTATCTATTGTGAGAAAATAAGATGCTGAACTGAAAATATGGGAAGAAACATAATAGTTATCTGCATTTTGTCAATATTTTTGCCATTGGTCATCATAAGCAAATCATACCAGGAGCAAAACCACAAATAGGCTTTCATAAGAAGTGAAAGATACTCCCTTGCCTCTAGGTGTAAACTCACTCCTTAGAGCGTTTGCAAATGAGGAGAAAGCAGCGGCGATGAGAGCCCTCAAGCCGAATTTCACACCTGAAGTGGCCTACATGGATAATTGGGTTGGAGAGGCCTAATTCAAAATCATGTAATGCAGGTTGAGGGAATTGCTTTTCCACTGGAGCATTCTAGCATACCTACCAATCAAATTGCCTTTGTTCCTATGTCTCCATGAGGTTTTTACTGTGCCACAATACATTTAGAACTATCTAAAGGGGGAAATATTGTTTATTTTGTAATGTTCTTCTCCTTTCTTTTCATGCTCTTTGACTCTTGAACTCAACCAATCATGTGAGGCTGTAATCTGAATAACGAGGAGGCTGAAAAGTTTTTAAAATCCTGTTTGGAAACAATCATTTTTGTGACTCCATTTGGTGCCACTAGCGCAATGAACTTCCATATCAGCTTTACAGGAGTGATTTCTAAAATTAAGTGCTGGTGAATATGTGAGTAATTTCATTTAACCTTACCTTGCCCTCGTGGTCTTCAAATACTGATTGGTCGACGTTGCAGGCGAAGAGGGACATGGGGAGATCATTGAAGTCGGTGATTTGTTGGAAACTGTCTCCCAGTGAGGACTCCCCCACGGTGGACTGCAGGACTACCAGCTCTTCTCCTCCTAGGAGGTAAACCCGCTGGAGGAATGGAGAACTTCTCATGTTGGCAAATAAATGCTCTCCCTTCATGGCTGTAAGGGGTACACAACCATATCAAAACTGAGGATGTTTTTCTAATATCACCAATTGCTTTCAGGATATATTCTACACTTTACAGTCCACTTACAATGTTTTCCGTTGACATGTTTGCTTTTTGGCATGACTAAGGTCACTAAACATGAGAAATATATGGTTCCTTTCCTTGTTCACCAAATGAATAATCAATATCTTTCACCAAATGTTCTTTGTAGCTATACAAATTAAAGGGTGAAAACAGTAACTTAAATATTGTTTAATCCACATGATTTTTTTCAATTGTTTACAGGCTGTATTCTACACTTTGCAGTCTACTTACAACATGGATGAAACAGAACAGAAACAGGAACTGGACTGACTAAAAAAACCGAGCTAAACTGAAGAAAAAATAATCAATATCATTCAACAGATCTTCTTTGTAGCTATACAAAGGGGTCAGTAACAGTAAAAGCAAACAAATAGAGGCAATAAGTATACTCATATATTGTTTAAACATTATTTAATTACAAAACAGGGAAAACTAAAAAAGCTACTTGAAGTACCCTCACGTTCTGTTGATGCTGATATATACAAATCCTGTTTTCCTTGTGTTGCTTTAAGATATTTATGACCTGTATTTTATACACCCAGGCAGCATAGGAAGCGCATGTCCTCACGACAGGTGACACGGAACTAGAACAGTTACCTCCCAGAACCCCATCGAGCAGATGTTAACCCCTGGCCTCGGTAACTAATGCTCCACCAAAAGATTAGGTGATGGGCTTAAAGCAGAACTGGTCTCTTGTCAGCCCACACAAACAACAACGGCAAGTGGGGAACAGCTTGCACCCATTTCCATAGAGCTTTTCCACATGCCCTTTCTTCCCATGATCCCCCCTGACAAGCTTGGTCCGTGGGCAAAGCCAGCACTGTCGCCGGTGTCACACGCACTGTTAAATCTCCCGCAGCTATTTTTGGGATCAATAGCCCATCACCAGCCACACATACACGCTCTCTAACACACGCGTGCTCTCACTTTCACTCAAGGCTATAGATAGAGGCTGGAGCTGTCTGGTTCATTCTTGCCCTGTGTAAACGAGGCTAAAAATAGAACGAGGACTAATGAAATGCAGAGATTGTGAGGAACTTGATTAACATGAAGACTTCCAGACAGGGATCAATTTCATTTACAATATTACCATGGCCCTGAATGAGATAAGGATGAGCATAAACTATGCATGAGCTTAAGCATGCTATTGGCGCTCAGCTTTAGATTTTAAGTGCCTTTAATTTTGGAAATGGTTTTTAAAGCTCAGCCAAAAAGTATACTGTTTAACTAAAGCTATATATATATGTTTTCTTGTTGGCATGACTAAGGTCACTGAACATCGGAAATGTATGGTTCCTCCTAACTAACCGAATGAATAATCAATATCATTTCACCAAATCTTCATTTTAGCCATACAAACTAAAAGGGGAAAACAGTAACAGTTACACAGTACACATTACTATTAAATATTGTTTAATCCACATTCATTTTTGAATACCATCATGTAGCCTATGCTTTGTTAATATTGACTTTCTGACCCCCTTTTATTTTTGTGTGTATTATGTGTATACATACTCAAACAATTATAACCAATCTCTTAATTAATTAATCTCTTATAAATCTCGTTTCCCAAATCAAATTCTTTTTGTTTTCATGACCTAATTAAAACCCATTTAACAGATGTTATTTTGGCAAATTGGAAGGTTATTTTCAGAAATATGATTGTACTCCAATATTGTTTTTTATGTGGTCAATCTGAGATACAGCATATTCTGGAAAAACTGCATTCAACAATTATAAATAGACAATTGGCTAGTGTGCACACTAATCAGAAAATTTTATTTTATTAAACTTATTTTTAACTTTTTATTTTTATAAAAAAAGGGCCCTGGGGTCTCTCAGATTTCTCAAGTTATTATATTTATTGCCTTCAAAAATTATGTATAACGAAATGCTCTAACAGTTATTATAGTGTATTATAGTAAATTACAGTGTACATGACCTTATTAGTTACAACTAAGAGATTTTAAAAGCCTTTGGGTACAAACATTGGCTGTTTAACAATAAATAACTCTGTATTATATAATATGTATTGTTTGTACAGTGCATAAAGGGCAAAATGAAAAGGGTAAGTGTCAATCACAGTCTACTGCAACCTGTTTGCTGCATCCCCTTTGAGTCATCACTAGAGGAGCGGTCCCTCTGTCGTCATCACCTAACATTCACTTTTCTTCTATTCGCAATAAGGGTTTATTTTCATCATGTCTCCCTGTCTGATGACTAATATAACAAACCCTTATGGTGAACATGCCACATCAACATTTCAATTTCAGCAACTGTCAATACAGCACACTACTGGCCGCTTCTGTCAAGGTCAAGGAGTGCACTTCATAAACTAGGCTACTATTACAAATTCAATAGCATCATCAAATGTCTTGCATACTCTTTGTAGGATTGTAAGGCTGGTTATTGAAGCATATCTGTCTATCAATGCAGACTTTCCAAGTCCCCATAAACTCGTGTAAAAGTGATTTTTTTAAAAGTGACATGCATACAGGATTAAAGCAGTGCAGAATAAAGTAAATACTATAGTATACACTATAGTTAATACTACATAATATATAGGCTACTATGTGTAGAATAGTATACTATGTGTAGAATAAGTATACAACACTTAAAAAAACTGCATTCATTTGACACTCTCTCGCTTTCTCTCTCTCTCTCTCCTTCTCTGAGCATTTATAAAAGCAGCAACACCTGTCAAAGCACTACAGTATCCTACAGATACAGGATGATATAATGAAGTAAATCGACACGGTTTTTCCGTACCTGTGCGGGATGTGGCAGTCCGGTGTGCGTATCTTCTGCGCGGTAGCTTTGTCTCCCTCTCTTGCCTTTGTGAATCAAGCTCGCATTCCAGCTGCGATTCACTAATCTCCTGACGTTACTGCAGACAGCTTGATTCACCAATGACCGCCTCCCGGCATTCAAATGATGTTTGCTCAACCCACTAATGAAATGCAGCGCTGCGTACGCGGGGGAGATTCTGGGACCAATAGCCTTCTCCTAAAAGCGAATATGCAAATTGATGAAACTACGTCAGAGGTTTCGCCAGCAGTTGGATGTTGCGGCGCTATGACACGTTCAGCAGGTTGCTTTTAGTAAATGGTGCAGGGCAAAGCAGAGATTTCTTGAAATGAATTCTGTCAGACTCGAAAACACTTGCAGCATGGGTTGAATTGTGCGGTGAGTTGAATGCGATAAAATGTGATAGTGTTTGTGGGTATCTAATTATACTATAGTAAAAAAAGAAACCCTGCGGAGAGAAACAATTGAAACTGGTTTGCTGGTCTACGCTGTTTTTTTGTTTTGTTTTGTTTTTCTTTAGCTGAAGACCAGATTTGCCAGGCTAGGAAACCAGCTTGTAAGAACTTTTTTTAAAAATCGCAGTGGGTCCTTTTATTAGTCAAGTCAAGTCAAGTCATCTTCATTTATATAGCGCTTTTAACAATGAATTGTTTCAAAGCAGCTTTACAGAGATAAACATATAATTTAAGGTAACAGATTGTTTTGGCGTTATAGCGGTTCTTGAATAATGTTACTTCCAGCTAAAGTTAACTTTATATAACTTTATTATATTATTTCCTATTATTATAAGGCCCTAATATTAACAAAAAAAAATTTTTTATGTACTTATATCTCAATAGGCCTAAGTAAAATCAGATTTTATGTGGCTGGCTAGATGTATTTAGTGCTCATGCTAAATATGAATTTATATAGCTTTTGCCCTATTCAGTTAAACAAGGTAACATCACCAGTTTAGCCTACCTTATTACAAACTAGCTACAGGGTGAAATCACATCATCAAATATATCATATCATCATCATACTGTATGACCACCACCCTCTTGATGTGAAAAGGGAAGTTTCTGTGTAATTTTTGTATTATTGATCATGTTAATGAATGTTGAATTACAAAACTTGTATCATCTGATCAGTAGCACACAGTTGTTTTTAGAGTTTTTGTATATTTTAGTTTTTAATTGATTCTTACAGTATATGGAAGAACAATAATGTCAAATGAAATGCTTTATTTTGTTACATCACACCACTTTCGAGTATCCAAACATTAGCCTTCTGCTGAACATCTCTGGAATGTTGTAGGCTATTTGATGTACCTCCCATAATTTTGCAAAGTAGGCCATATTTCTGGATCCAACATAGTTGATCCTGGATGAACATCCTATTCAATAAGATTTTAAGGTAGGCTATGTTTGTTTGACAGGAATTTTGTTCCAAGATCAACAAAAGATGATGTTTGCTTGGCAAAATCAGTCACATGTTGGTAAGTAAATGGAAATATACAGAAGAAGGAAACTTCTGCAGCAAAACATGTTATTTATTGAAACACAATTAAACTTGTTCTTTATTTAAACACACTGCAAAGCAGCGTAAAGGGTTTTCTTCTTCCAAAATATATACAAATCCAGTGATTGATTCAATCAAGTACATCATCATATTTAATTAATGTAAACATTCTGTTTGCCTTACAAATTAAAGATGCTTGCACCCAAGCACATAAAATTGCTCCATAACTTGTGTCATGTAATGTTTTATCCAAAAATGAGTGTGCACAGATGCAGTGAAGAACTCACAGACTATTAGACAGATGTGTTTATAGAAACAATCCTTTTCACCACTACAGAAAAGAAGCACAGTGTTTATACATGTAATAATGTGTTTACATATTTCTGCTTCACAAAAAAGAACCTCCACTTAGTTATATTGTCTATAAACTTTGTCTTTACTTTGTCCATTTAATGCACAAGATGTTTAGCTGTAATATGAGTGCAGTCGCATACGGCATCACATTTTGTTTATTTCATACATCCTGGAAATGATGAAGTCTCTCAGTTCGAGTGAGGAATTTCCACAACCTCATGCTTTCTGACATATATCATCTCTATTATGCCATCAGTTATGGTTAACCCAACAAAACTGTAATATAAACAACTAATATCCTAAATTACCTTTAGCATTGTATGACTTTCTGATTTAGTATCTGCCTGTGTCCAAGTCACTGTTTAACATTCACCATGATGCCTAGAACCTCTGAAGCTCAGCCCAGGATATTATGCGGTTGATCTCCACAACTGTTATGTCAAGACTGTCAACAGAGCTCTAAAGCAGTAGCACAGCCCTCTGAACACATGCGCTCTATCTGTGCTTGTATCTCACTGTACAGGGTCCATCTGGCTGCTGGGTTCCCACCAAATGCAGAGGGCTCTGCAAGAAGCAGATACATATATTTACCAAGTGCAATGACCACATACATGTGATGTACAACCCCAGTAAGTATTTCACAATGTATGAATGTATTGCATTATGCAAAAAATACTGTATAAAAGCAAATGGCATTCGCAAACAAATGATTGAACTTTCTAAGCATTTTTAAGCGTTTTATCCAAATCTATATAACTACACCACCGTTCAAGAGATTTTTTTTAAGGTTTTTGAAAGAAGTCTCTTTCATTTATTTTATTAAAAATACACTAAAACAGTAATATTGTGAAACATTATTACAATTTAAAATGACTGTTTTCTATTTGAATATATTTTCAAATGTAATTTATTCCTGTGATGGAAAAGCTGAATTTTGTGAATTTTTACCGCATGCTTTTGAACATTAGTGTATATATTGTTTTATAATATTATTTATAATTTGCTTATGGAAATGTTGTTTGATAGTAAAAATAAAGACATTTCGGTAACACTTTACAATAAGGTTTCATTAGTTAACTTCATTACTGCAGATGTAAATTAGCCTAAGGCTAACTCTGGTGTAATGCATCAAATGTTTACATTTATGTTATTAATTGCACATGGTCCCTTTTAAATAAAAATCAAATCAAATTAGTTAACATGAACTAATAATGAACTGCACTTCTACAGCATTTATTGATCTTTGTTAATGTTAATTTAAACATTTACTAACACATTATTATTAAAATCAAACGTTGTATTGGTTAACATTAGTTAATGCACTGTGAACTGACATGAACAAATAATGAACAGCTGGATTTTTATTAACAAATATGAACAAATATAGTAACAAATGTGTTGCTCATGGTTAGTTCATGTTATACATTAACTAATGTTAACAAATGAAACCTTATTGTAAAGTGTTTCCGAAATTTCAATATCAACAATTTATCAAGTTGTTGTAAAACAGAAATTTTGTTCCTGATTCTGTCCAAAGAAAGGTACTGTATGACCCATATATGAATGCATGATGCATATCTAGATTCACGCTCCTGGAATGAACTTGGTCGTTGGTGGGCGAAACTTACAAAGTTATTTTTGGTCAGGCCTGAGAATTGCAAGGGTAAAGAGCAGGATGGTGCTTAAGCATTAGATTGGACCCTTGTTGGGTAAATACTGCCATAGGAACACATCTGGAAATGATTAACCTAATGCCTACTTTGAAGCCATCTCTTTCAAGGCTTATTTACCATTCTCTATTGGATGTTACTCTTTCTGGCTGCTTACCGGTTTAGGCACTGGATCCAACAGGGTGAATTCAAACTTGTGGAGGATGAGGGCAACAAACATATGCAATTCCATAATGGCGTACCACCTGATGACACAATAAACAACAAGTGGTTCATTTTCTTTTTCATGTGCTCTTTCTCATTAATAAAATTTTCTAGAAGCAAACTCATCACTCTGAAGTGCTCATCACTTCACAAGCCGGCTTGAATAGCATGTGTATTAGTATTCTGATGGAATATTGCATGCTGTCTAGCTGCCTCCCTCCCTCGAGTGCTGCTGAAAACTGGGGAAACTGTGATTGAAATTGCAGGTAGAAAAGCAAAATGTGAATGAATGTCTTGTATTGCGTTCAAATTCCAGGTGCATTCATAGCCACAGTGGCCTTGTTTGGCGGATGGGAGAAGAGGAATATTAGATGCAGCAGAGTGCAAGAATGAAAGATTCCTGGGTGAGACAGAGAAAGGAATAATGCCAGGCAATAAAGGGAGGGCGAGAGATGCAAGTCATGATTCTTGAAATAATCATCCCAAATAACCTTGAGGGCCGTGACTCATTCAGGGGCACTGTGTTAGTGACGCAAGTAGCAATCTCCTAAAATGATCAAAATCAAATCAGATTGAGTGAGAAAAATGAAATACGTGGGTGTCCGTGTGCCACACTCAGTGTACTAATTTATGACCATGTCCAGCTGAGAGATCTGTACAAGCCTGAGAAATCATTACAGAGCCGCCTTATGACAATGTGACATTTGAATGCAGGAAGTTGGTAAGCATAGATTGAATGCTTCTATGTTTATAATGCCAATGGCATTTTAAATTATTCCAGAGAGAATGTGATCGTGATGTTAAAGGGGTCATCGGATGCCCATTATCCACAAGTTGGTATGATTCTTTAGGGTCTTCATGTAAAGATTGTAACATACTTTGGTTTAAATTTCTCAATGGTTGTGTAAAACAACACCCTTTTTACCTCCTCAAAAACAGCTCTGTTCACAGCAACCCGTTTCGGTCCATGTCTCTTTAAATGATAATGAGCAACTGCGAACCCCACCCCTCTCTTTCTTGGGGCGTGTCGACACATAAAGTGCTGCCTTGGCGGACAGTATACAAATGGCTGAGGGCGGAAATATGCTAATACAGGACAGTCCGTCTGTCGTCATGGGCGGAGCATGAGCAACATGACATCATATTGCTCAGAAAATCCAAATGGCTTGATTATTGAGAGTGTTTAGGCTTTTTGAGGATTAAAAAAAAGGAGTGAAGTGAATAGATTTTTTCATTGTATGGTGGTTGTATCCACACACTGCAAAGACACATTTATATGCTAACACCATATAAAAGTGAATTTTGCATCCGTTGACCCCTTTAAATGGTGCTATGCAGTGTTGGTGTAATGTAACGCGAGTTATGTAATCAGATGCTTTTTCCAAGTAACTAAAGTA